ACCCCTACCCCAGGGACTGGGGGGACTCACTGCAGTGGGCGAAGACAGGCAGCACCTGGCCCATGGCCCCGCCCGGGCCCGCTCTGGCCGCGCCGCCCAGGGCCCGGGGCCCCTCGTGTTCATCGCCCCGGCACCGCCCCAGCCGCCGCCATCCGCAGACCGTCGCCGCCTCCCTCCCTCCCTCTCCTCGGGGCCTGGGCGGGCGGGGCCCCGAGCTGGGACCGAGGGGAGTGAGGAGAAGGGGGTGGGGGGACTGCAGCACGAGCCCCGGGCCGGGGGCGGGGCTTGGGCTGGGGGGCGTGATCAAGCGCGCCTGCGCGAGCTTGGAGACAGGCGAGGGGAAGGGGAAGATAGGGAGCCTGCGCGAGTCTGGAAGGGGTGGGGGGGGTAGGAGGTGGGGGGGCGGGCCTTGAGGAAGACTGGGTGGAGCATGAGCTGTGGAGGGAGTGGGACCTGAGGCAGAACGAGGAAGAAGGTCGGGGAAAAAACACTAGGAAACCGTACTGGGGAGACTAAGCCTGGAAGGGAGGAGGAGAGGCCCTGGGAGGGGATAGGATCCTGGCAGAAGGGCGAAGGACACAACTGGAGAGGAGTTGTTGCCTGCTCGTGACCCTTCTGAAGCTCAACATGTTGGGTGTGGGAGGGGACCGGGGAGCTCGGGGGCGTGGCATCGAGATGCTGAGCCTGAGAAGGGAGGAGGGCTGGGTGAATGTGGTGTAGACCAGAGTGTGACTGCCGCCAGGGGGAGCTTACACACTTTCATTCATTCGGTAAACTTTTATTTAGGATCTAATAGGATGCCCAGGGAATTGCACTAGGCGCTGGGGAAGGCACCAAGTTTAAATAAGACACAGGTCGCTACCTTAACGGAGCTTACTGTTTACTAGGGAGGTCACTGTCATCTTTAACATTGCCTGATAAACGCAGTAGAGAAGGACAAAGTTCTGGGCTAGGCGACATCCAGCTCTAGTTGTCTAATCTTACTGTGAGGGAGTCAATATGCAATAAAGCACTGAATTTGGAATCACATGTCCCACCTTCAATCCTGCCCCTGTCACTTAAACCTTGTACAAGTCATTTCACCTCCTTAGGTCTCAGTTTCTGCATCTCTTGATTCAAAGAGGAAGTCGATTCTGAGCCTCTGAGTCAGAATCTTATTCCATTAGAATAGTAGACTCTTTAAGTCATAGACTGTTAGAATTGTACACTCTAAGTCAAAATAGAATTTTAAGCCTTTATATTCACCTGAGACAGCTCAGCTCAGGCCATACCTCCTCCAGAAAGGCTTCCATGATCTCAGCTCTCCCCAGTTGAAAATATTCTCTGCTTCCTCAGATTCCCTTCCTAGAGCACTTTGTTTTCACATTTCCATTTATCTCACGACGCACCCTACCTTGTGATTCTTACTTCTATCGCATATTAGAATGTCAGGAAGCTCTTTGAGGGTAGGAATTGACTCATTTAATTTTTAAAAATCATAGTTTCATACACTTAGAGCCAGAAGGAACCTTAGAAAATCATTCAGTCTGACCCATTGTCCAAATGAAGAAACTAAGGCAAAGAGAGATCAAGTAGCTTCTCCAAGGTCACAAGGGTTAGGAGGCAAGATTTACGCTCTGGTCTGCCTCAGATGGCCCATCATCACAGCATGCAGGTTCCCCTAGGTTCTTGAAGGCTGTGTGAGAGGCAGCTGGTCTCTGGAATTCTCTACCAAACTGGAACGGNCGGTCTGCCTCAGATGGCCCATCACAGCATGCAGGTTCCCCTGGGTTCTTGAAGGCTGTGTGAGAGGCAGCTGGTCTCTGGAATTCTCTACCAAACTGGAACGGTTGAGGAGTGAATTGGTTGCATGTAGATTATAGATTAAAGTTCTGTTGTCTGAGCCAATTAATGAAGCCTACCTTTCCCCCCTTGGTCAAGCCTAGCACAGCTTGGAGAGGTTCATTGGTAGCTTGGCCAAAAGCTGATGAGGATAACTCTACTGCAGTCATATTAGAGGGGTTTCTGAGCTGTGTGCCTAGAGCAAGGACTCAGAGAGCTAAAATGACTTCCCCTGAAGTGTTTGAGCCCAGGTAGTTGCTGTGCATGGTCACACATAGTGGGCACTTAGTGTTTGTTTAATTAAATAGAATCTTAGACTTTTAGGACCTCAGATTGATAGAATCATAAGCTCTCAGAGGCATAGAATTTTAGGACAGTAGAAAGTTGACCAAGAAACTTTTACTGACCACTTCCTATGTGCAAACCCTAAAGGAGGAAGTGTTCATATTTGGACAACTTATAGAGGTCCCTTTAACCTCCAATCTTCCTTTCCCACCCTCCCCCAAAGCCCCTTGGCCTAGAACAAAGTGGACCTGGAAGGGAAAAGAAAGCCCTGAACTTCTTCATAACCAGGGTCAGCAGGCCTGAGGCACAATCTTGTGTGTTAACCAGTTAGACCGTGAGCTCCTTGAGGAACGTTTCTTTTCCCCTTTCTGTCTTCCCAGCACTTTGCATAATGTCTGATGCATAGTAGGTGCTTAATAAGTGTTTATGACCGATTGACTCCTCCCTTGGCTCCTAGGCTGCTGAGGACTGGAGCGGAAGAATTACTTAGCCACGACCTCCCCCACCACGAGACTGACCAGCCTAGTGGAAATAAAAATGATTAAGACTAGGGAGGGGACTTCCCCCTTTTCAAGTTCCCCTGTAGTGAGGACATTTGAAAGGAGGAGGAATGTGAACCCTTTAAAAAGGTACAGGGAAGGGAATCCTAGGACTCAGAACCAGGTGAAGAATTTTGTTCCCTTAGAGCCCAGAGAAGGGAAAGGATTTACTGAAGGTCACACAGCAAGTTAGGGTCATAGAAGGCAGCTAGATGGTACAATGGATAGGTCATTGAACCTGAAGTCAGGAAGACTTGAGATCAAATCTGTCTTCAGACACTAACTAGCTATGTGACCATGGGCCAGTTTGCCTCAGTTTCCTCAACTGTAAAATGCAGATAATAACAGCACCTATTGTGAGGATAAAATGAGATATTTGTAAAGCACTTAGTATACAGTGCTGGGCACATAGTAAGTGAATTATAAATGCTTATACCCCTTCTTACTTCTCTCTTCCCCTTAGAGAGAAGATAGGATTCAATATTGCCCGAATGTCCACCCAGCAGTTCACAGAATGATCAGCCAGCAGAAACTCGTGGACCAAAGGAGACAGATCTCTGGAGTCAAGAGCATTCATTAAGTGCCTCTTAAGCTCCTAAGGGACTATACTAAGTGCTGGCTGGGGTCCTTAAAAGGAACCTGGGTTCTGGACAAAGAGTTTCCCACCCCATAAAAAGGAAAGTGGAAAAGGGAATGAAGCCTGCTGCCCGAGCACCAGGCCAGCTCAGTTTGGAGAGATTCATGACCACCTTGGCCACAAGGTCAGGGACACTCTCCTAAAGTCCTGTAGAGAGGTTTCTGAGCTGTGTGCTTGGAGCAAAGACTCACAGGGGTGAAATCATATCCCTTGAGATATTGAAGCACAGGAGATGTGTATGTCCTTAGGGCCCAATACAGCATCTTGAACATAGTGGGCACTCTAAGTTCCTGGGGAAAGGAGGAGCTGGAAGAGGGCCAGGAGGTGAGGCTGTGGCGGAACAAGGGTTTGGGGAGGTCAGTGGCTTCAGCCATGAGGTCATTCACTGGGGATTTGCAAGTTAGAAGCCCCCATTACTCTGGGGGTAGGTGCGCCCTTTTCGAGGAAAGTTTTCCTTCCCTGAGCTTTGAGGGTGGTCACTGCTGACTCTCATGACTCCCCGGTAAAACTGGAGACAAACAAGGAGTGTTCTAATATACTGTAGAATAACAGAGCTGGCTGCAATTCAGAACTCAGGACAGAGCTGGAAGAGCCCTTAAAACACAGACTATAGAATGATCGGGGGTGGGGGGATGGAGGGGGGTGGAGGCGACTTTAGAGATCACCTAGCTTAAAGCACTGACTCAGTGCCTGGCATACAGTAAGTGCTAAATAAATGCTTGTGGCCTGATCGATTTCACCCACGAAAAGAAGACACCGAGGCCCAGAGAGGAGCAGAGAATTTCTTGAAGTCATACAGCGCATCGGAAGCAGAACCCAGACCTTCTGACTCCCAATCTGAGGCTTTTCTCCCAGAGTCCTCTGCACTCAGTCTTTATGAGGATGGGGAACTCCGAACCCCCAGGGAACTCCCAGCAGGCCAGAACAGGAAGAAATGAACGCGAATTCGCTACTTCTCTTCCCTCTTCTGACTGGCAGTTTGTGTGTTTAGCAGGAGTAGAGGGGAAACCGAGGCACACTGGATGGGGGGGGAAGGGGGCTGAGGATGGAACCCAGGCGTCCCGCCCTTCCCCGCCCTTCCCCGCCCTCGCTTGTCTCTCACTCAGTCTCTTAGTCATCCCGGTCCACACCTACTTCCTCCTCCTCACCTTCCCCAAAGGAGTGGGGGCGGGGCTGGCTCAGGTCAGGTGAACAGAGGGGAGGGAGGGGGATGGGGGAGTAGATCTTTCTACACTGGATTGATCCCCGGAGCCCCCCAGTGACCCTTACCCACGAAAAAGTGTGCGGAAGGGAGAGTAACCGACGTGGAAGGGGGGCCACCAAAGAGAAGGGCAAGGGGCAGCCGGCCGGGCTACCCGACGCCCGGAACCTTTAAGGCGCGAGGCATTGTGGGCGCCCCGAGTGTGCGGAGCGGGGCGGAGGGGGGAGGATAGGGGGGTGGTTAGAGAAGCAGGTTGGAATCTTGGAATGAAATGTAACCACAGGAGGAAAAGCGTAACGTTCCAGCAGCGGGGAGCTGCGGCGGCGACTGCGCTGGCCGGGCAGGCGCATCTGACCGGGAGGGGGAGCCCAAAGCGGGGGGCGGGGGCAGGGGGAGGGCCCGAGCACCCCCAACTAAGAAGGGGGCGGGACCCCGGCCGAATCCCCGCCCCCTCCTATGCCCCCTCCTCCTCCCCCTAGAGGAGGAAGCTGCAGCCCTCCACGGGGCGGGTCCGGCCCCAGATCTGACCAGAGCTCCGGGCCCCCCTCCCCTGCCCCTTCCCCGGAGCCTCCGGGTGTACCCCGGAGCCCGGGAGCCCAGTGCGGCCCAGCCCGCCCCTCGAGCGCCCCGCCATGAGGTGAGAGACACTAGGGCGGGGTCTGGAAGCCGGGAGACTTTGGTGGGGAGGGTGCCTTGGGCCTGGGGACCCAGCCGGGATCCAGAGAGGCCGCCTCCTCAGCCCTCTGGCGGGTTACGGGGAGGGAGAAAGAGGGTTGTGGGAACCCAGGTCTCTGGGAAAGGAAGGGAAGGGGTGGCGAGGGGCGGACCCCCTTTCCCTTTCGCTACGGGAAGCATTTTTTGGGATCCCCCTTAACTAACCCTCCGCAACTTTGGAAAGGACACCCCCTGAACCCTGTAGTTCTCCAGACTGGGCGGGGGAGGGGAGAGGGGTGTGGTGTCCAGGGACTCCCTTGTGAAGAGGAAGGATGATGGTCAGACTGTTGCCCCTTCCCTTTCCAGGAGCTTTTCTTCTGTGAGTTTCCTTCCGATTGTTTCTTCCACTGTCCTATTTCCAGGAGTTCCGAGATCCGTTAACCACACAGTGGTTTTTGGTTTGGTTTGGTTTGTCTTGGCTCTTTGAAGGGGAGCAAGTTTTGTCTTGGGACCCTTCAAAGGGAAGTTGACACCTTGTGTCCCCCCCCCCACCAACTTGGGCGGTGAATGGTGCTGTCTTGCTTCCCCTTGCAATTCTTGACCCCGTCCAGTCTGTAGCCACCCTGTTCCCCCCGCCCCCCCCAAAATTGTGGGAATTCCAAACCTCACCTTTGCTTATAAGCCTGTGAGGAGAGTGAGATGCCCTGGGGGGAGGGAAGCTATCACTTTTTAATGTCCTCAGTTTTGCGGACGAGTCCCTGTTCATGCACTGGAAAGTCTCTGCCCTGCCCCCAGCGACGCTGAGCCCCAACTTTTCAGGGGTACGATCCTTGAGTCCTTGACATCAGGACTGGTGAAGCTCTTCTTAGCTGTCTCTACTGTTAGTGAAGGTTTAGATACACCCTTAGAACTGGGGTGAGCATTATCTGTCTCCACCTCCGTCTCCCCGCCCCCCATACACACCTGAATTTCCCGGAGGGAGGAGGTCTCTTGTTTACTTCCCCCTTCCGCTATATCTAGAGGGGAGAGGGCGTTGGGGAAGTTATCCAGAGGGGTAGCCGGCTTTTTCCCAGAGTCCCCACCCCTGACCCCTCCCCCAGTTCCCCCTGGGAAGGAAACCAACAGCTGGAGGGATGGAGGAGGGGCAGGGGCAGGGGCAGGGGCAGGGGCAGGGGC